TATTGGAAGACGGGGTGTTCCAGAAATTATTTATTCAGACAATGGTTCACAATTTGTTTCAACTGAAACTCAGTACTTTGCTGCAAACCATTCTATAAAATGGAAGTTTAATGCGCCTTCGGCACCGTGGTGGGGAGGGATGTTTGAGCGACTAGTACGAATGACTAAAAGATGTTTGAAGAAAGCCTTAAAGAATTCGAAGTCTTCTTATGAAGAAGTACGAACGTTGCTTTCTGAAATTGAAATGGTACTAAATAACCGACCATTAACTTATTTGTATAACAATCAAGGTGATGAAGCACTCACACCTAATCACTTAGTTTTTGGACATAAGCTTAAGCTTGAATCAAGTCTTAGTGCTTGTAACGATATAGAACAAGATGTGCATATACGAAACAGTATGTTATCGAATACATTGAATCATTTTAAAAGTAGATTCAAAAGTGAGTACTTGACAGAGTTGCGTGAATATCATAAATCAAAGCGGAGTAATGGATGTAATGGTATTCGTGTTAATGACATTGTATTAATTGAAAATAATAACTGTAAAAGACAATTATGGAAATTAGCACGTGTTGAAGAATTGTTATATTCAAACGACGGAGTTGTTCGCGTTGCTAAAGTTTGTTACAAACAAGAGAATGGTAGTTCGTGTTTAATTACTCGACCCATTAATAAACTATATCCTACTGAATATTCAGACAATGAAAAAATAGTAACTGTTGCCTTTATTAACGAGAAGAATATTCCTTTACTTGTAAATGGTGGACGGGAGTGTTGAAGCCTATTTGGCTTCCCGCGAATAATCTATTGGTTATAACTATTTCCCGCAGTGCATTGCGTCTTAAGCCATGCTCTCATGCTAGTTGTATATGACCTTACTAACTTACAACTCTTCTTACTATTTAATATATATTATTGAAACTCACATAGTAGTTATTTCTTAGTGTTCAAATTATATAAAGTAAACCGTTGCACAGTGGGCTAATTTTGAAAAAAGCTGGCCAAAAGTCAAAAAAAAAAAATCACTATTTTGAATTTATTATTTTGAAACTACATAAACAAAGCCCTGTTGTATTTTATTGTATAAGAAAAAATTGTATAAATTTTAAAGTTACCTATATCTACGCAGTTAAAGATCTGTTATTAAAAACACATAATTGTCGTTTTAAAAACAAAACAAAAAATGTGGTTAAATAAGTATCGTTTACAAAAAAGTTATTTATCGTTACTAAAAAACTAAATATGGACGATACTATTCAAGGTATTTATATAATATTTTAGTAAAAAGTTTTATATTATTTCTCTAAATTTTATGCGAAAAGTGCAAACAAAAAAATACAGAATAAAGTTTATTTATTTTCTTTAACCTATTTTTCAAGCATTGAAAAAGTAGTGAACCCGCGAGATTCCGCTTAGTTATAATTTGGATATTGTTCATAAAAGTGTATTCTAAAGATTGGTTAAAAGAAAAGGTACCTATTTTTGCCTATTACTTCATTAACTTATATTGTGTAGTGCTAGTCGTGTTTTTTAGTAAATAAAATGGCGGTGTTTTGTTTTCTTTACAAAATCAGTCAAATTGTAAATAGATATAGTTATTATGTTTCTTGAGAAACTGATTTTTTTAAGTGCAATAAAACTACAATAAAATTAGTAGCACACATGAATGAGATTTTGACAAAGTTAGAGTGTAGGAGGGGGGGGGGATAAACCCCCTCGGTTACGACGTCTTTTTTACCTCAGCTACGACAAGTTTTGTATAGTTTAACTAAATTTTAAAAAATCAGTTTCTCAAAAAACATAATAACTATATCTATATACAATCATATGATTAACAGTATATTTTACCTTTCTCTTATATATCGAATTTATATAAAATAATATATTATCGATTACTTTTTATTTTATTTTTAATTAGTTTAGTAAAGTTATAATGTTTTTATGATTTTTTCAATTATTATATTTTCAATTAATATCTAAGGTTCACAAAAAGATCATTTGCAAATTACTCGAATTGAAATTTTTGAAATTTTAAAAACCAAGTTATCTTCAAATCTAGATGACCAGCTTGATATTTTGCAATCACAGTTGTGTCTAAGAAGAAAAATTTGTTTCCAATTTTCAACAGATGATAAAAAGAAACTAAAAAATGTATTGACAAAATTAAAAATAAAATGGAAAAGTAGTAACCGAACAAAAAAAAATATTTTTGAAGACACATGACACTTGGTTAAAAGTTAAACTCTGAAACTCATTCGTCTGTGATTGAGTTTATCAACAATATTTCAATAATAAATGATTCAGATGACAGTGGTGATTTATTTTAAAGTCATATAAATGAAACAATTATGATAAATGATGCAAATAAAAGTTTTTCTTGTTTTCCTTGAACAAATAAATAAGTAGAATAAATAATGAATTTTTCAATTTATTTTTCTTAACATTGCGGCATAATAATACGGTCATAATACATTATATATCAGTATTATATATAATGTTTATATATGTAATGTAAATAATACATTAGTCTATTGAACTTAAATGTCGAATTAGAGCTAATTGGTTAAACACGAAGGCCCAAAGGCATTTCTAATGATTAATGTTTTTAAAACACCGCCATTTTGGATCTGCCATTATTGAATTTTGGTACACTTATGTAAAATTTAAAGTTGGGGATTCAAAAAAATGCTATACAGAAATTTTCCATTAATTATAATCATTTTTTGACTTTTGGCCAGGTTTTTTGAAATTCCGCCCACTGTGCGTTGAGTAGATTTAAGTACTCAATACCTGGATCTGTAGTAGATAAATCATAAGGGCAACCTCCGTAATGACCACGTAAAACCAACCTCTTCACTTTTGGATCACGCAGAGGGCCTTTTTTTAATTTTGTAATTTCTTTCTTAAACTAAATATATTGTTAATTTTATTATTACAAGATAAATTATTAGTTATGAGCCACATGATTGCAATAAATCTGAATGTGGGGAAACTGAGCACTGACTTGGATCAGAAAAAAGACGTAAGTCGAGCATATATAAGGTAAATGATTTGGGTTGTCTGGAAAGCGATTTAGAAAGTTGACTATTTGTGTTACAGATTGAGAAAGGCAAATATTGTCACACTAGAACCAAGTCATTCAGTGTGATGAACACTTAAAGTCAACAACAACAGCGATATTGGCTGAAGGGTAAAGAGAAAGGGTTAGGTCAACTTTTTCAGTAATATCATCGAAAAGAGTCTTTAGATAAAGCAGAGCGATATAGAACAAAAAGAAAGATTATAGAGTTAAGTGGTGCTAAACAAAAACACATAAATAAATAGTTTGTGAACTCAAATTTAGTTTCCCGACAAAAGAGTGAATTCTTACGAATGTAGATGCCCAGGCCAAGGATCTAACTATAGGAGTCTTTACGAGTTAAAGGAAGATAACTATCAACACTAAGATCACAAGATGAGACAGCTGAACTCAAATTAGTCTCACAAAAAGCAAGCAGGTCTGGTGAACTTTGCAAGAGATAAGACTCAACAGAAGAAAAGTTTCTTCAAAGACCACGAATATTAGTGAATGATAAGTTTAGAGAACTTGGTGATGACGATGGTTTTTTGTGTTTTACAGTTTTTAAAAAGTTATTTCATACAAGTGATCACATTTTTATAAAACTTTTTTGTTAAGTCTAAAAATTTGCATGAAGTTGTTTCGTTTATATTCAAACTTATTTCGCTAGTAATTAAAAGTTTTAGCAATTGTTACCAACTTGTTTAGAGAAACCGAGTTTAAACTTACCTGAAAATGATGATGGCTTGATGCATTTGATGCGATTAAAATTTCGCTAAGTTTCCTCGATTTGTCTTAAGGTTAAACAAAAATTGTATATTAAGTATATTAATTCAAGAAGTGATAAGAGTAAGACAATTTATTTAAAAATTGCGAAAAGCATTTTGAAAGTCAAAAAACAAAAAAATTTAAAAAAATACTACTCAAACTTAATAGAGCAGCTTAAACATAACTTAAAGCGCACGTCACAAAAATATATATTGACAATGTTCAAATAAAACAATCAAATGTTTCCTTAATGTTTTCGTTGATGAAAATCTTACATGGAAAAATCATACTATTTATCAGATGAAAATTCATACCGTTTTTTGAAAATTGTTTTTGCGCAAAGTTTCAAAAAGTATTGGAGCATTGCATAAAGTAAAAAAAAATTAAAATAGAAATGCATTATTTTATCTATATTACTCGTTTATTCAATGCCATGTAAACTATGCAAATATCACACGGGGTATTGCTAAAAAAAATCAGTAAGACCTTCTTTATCGGCAACAGAAGCATCTAGCACGTTTAATAAACTATAAAAATTGTTATACTTATGCCAGACCTCTTTTATTGCAAATGAATTTTTTTAATGTATATCAAGTAATTTCTTAATATATATCATGTAAATATTTTTAATTCTCTTTGCTTTATGTACAAATGTAAAATAAACTTAACGCGTGCATCTTTTCAAAATTTAAAAAAAAAAAAATGTTTCAAAAAACATTTGATTGAAACCAGCAAGATCTATATTTTGTCCGTAGTCGTAGCTAAAATTCTCAATTGCTTACTGTTATTAACAATGAATAAATAAAAATGAATATGCTCCATTAACTAAAATGATCTCAATTTGAACATCTTCTCAATACCCAGTAAGCACATGAACGTTTTTAAAACGTTTTTTTAACTAAAAAAAAAACGTTTTTTAAGCGTTCAGAATGGCAATAAATAAAAAACGTTTTTGAAAAAAGTGTTTAAAAAACGTTTTAAAAAAGTTGTTTAAAAAACGTTCTAAAAAAAACGTTTAAAAAACGTCTTTAAATAACCCAAATTAAACCATAAAACGTCATTTGAACGTTTAAAAGACGTTCTTTTTCAGAAAATATTCCCAAATCCATAAGTATTATTATTAAACTATTTGAAAGAACATGTTGGTTAAAAAAACAAGAAAAATATATAATTTATTTAAAAGTTATTTTTAAATATATTTTTTAAAACAATTTACAAACAAAGTAATATCGTAACGATGATATCTGTTGGATTTAAGGCACTTTAACACGAGCAAAAGTTGCCCGCTTAAACGAATCAGTATTTATTGCATCAACAATCGACTCTGTGTATGATTCGTGAGCAGTCGATGCACAAACTAAAAGAATAAACTATATATTAAAAACAGACAATAATATCATAAATCTGACAGTAATAATAGTATAATAATAGTAACAAGTTTTTAAATTAGAAATGTTTCAAAAATATATATATAATTTCATAATACACACGAATAAAAAGTATATTAAATATATATATATATATATATATATATATATATATATATATATATATATATATATATATATATATATAGACACACACACACACACACACACACATACATACATACATACACACACACACACACACACACACACACATACAGTAGCGGCATAAGGTCATGACCACAGTTGAAAAACTATTTTACTAATTTACTAATTATTACTGCATTGTCAGTAATAAGCGCCACTAATAAAACATAAGAAATTCTGATTATAAGGCTAGTATTTTGTATGCCCTCCATAAATATTTCCAAATACTTATCCTGGTTTACCGTGCTTGTACAACGATATAAATGAGGTCATTTATACCTGATCATTGACATGCAACCCCATACCACAAGAGAGCTTCCTTTATGTTTTACTGTGTGAGCTACACACAGAGGACTAAATCATTAACCAACTCTTCTCCACACATAAGCTCTTTTAGCTCTACAGTAAACAGTAAAGGTACTTTCATCATTCAATAACACTTTATTCCATTGTACGACAGTCCAGGTTTTGTACATCTTTGTGAATGCTCTTCTTTTCGTGATGTTATAAGGTCGCAATAAAGTCTTCTTCACTTCAATTATCCCATTCAAACCAGTATGCTGCAGGCATTTTCTAACTGTCCTTGCTGCCAGATTAACTTCAAGGTTTTTCTCCATGTAGCTTGCAAGATCTGAAGCCTTGGCAAAACGATTAGACTAACTCGCCCGAACCAAAAGCCGATCCTGCTTTGCGCTAGTTTTACGAGATCGGTATAAAAGGCAAATGCACCAAGCCCATTTTTGGCTGTATGGAGTTATGTACACCACTATTTAGTATTTTAAATTTTCTATCATCTGATATACCACACCAATTTAATAAACCAATTATTAAAGAGTTATTAAGATTTATAATTTCAACTATTACACAAAAACTTATCATTTTAACTATTATGCAAAAACTTATTAGTTTATAATCCCAATATATATATATATATATATATATATAATATATATATATATATATATATATATATATATATATATATATATATATATATATATATATATATATATATATATATATATATATATATATATATATATATATATATATATACATATATATATTAGTGTGGCTCTTAAAACAGCTTTTTGAGAAAAACCTGCTCCCACCCCCTAAATGTGTTTTATCTAATACAAAAACACTAGGCTTAAAATTGTTTTTGAATAAAAAATATTTTAAGGGGTCCCCTCAAGACCCTGGAATGATTAATTGGTCCCTAATATTAAAAAAAAAAAAGTTTTTTAAAAATAATACTCAAATAAAGCAAAATTATATAAAAATTTCAAAATAACATTTATTTTAAAAAAATTGATCTTTTTTGGTTTTATTACTTAAAAAATTATGTTTTTTGACAAAAAATGAAAAAAATGCATTTTTTATGTTTTTTTATGGTAATTTTTAAATAAGTTAAAATTTTTTTTAAATGAATATATTCTTTAAATTTTTTATATAATTTAGCTTCATTTGAGTACCAGGTTGACATATTTAATAGAAAATTTTTTTTTGAAAATATTAGGGACCCATTAAATATTCAAGTGTCTTGAATAAAATATTAAAGTGTCTTAAAAAAATATTTTAAGGGGTCCCCCCTTAAAATATTTTTTGTTCAAAAAAATTTTAAACCTAGTGTTTTTGTATTAGATAAAACACATTTAGGGGGTGGGAGCAGGTTTTTCTCAAAAAAATTGTTTTAAGGGCCACCCTAAAATATATATACATATATATATATATATATATATATATATATATATATATATATATATATATATATATATATATATATATATATATATATATATATATATATATATATATATATATATATATTAGGGTATAGTTATTTTCATAACAAAAAACCTCCATTTTGTTAAAGGCGGGCTTTTATTAAAGACGGGTTTTTGTTAAAGAAGGGTTAAAGACCGGTTTTTTATAAAAATTAAAAAAAAACACTTTTATTTTTCAGTGAACCCTTAAATACCCAAAACAGTTTAAAAGACTCAAAAAAATCTTATTTCAAATACAAGTAACCCTTATGGCATAAATTGATTGCTGACAAAAATTTGAGACAAAAAAATGATAACTAGGCACTTTTTTGAGTTGTATCAGATATGATACAACAGGTAATTATTTATCAAAATATTAAACATACTACATAGTACATATAAGCTAAATATAATAGCACATTCATATAAGATTATGAATGAAAAACTTCAAAACAGTTTCTTTCTTTCTTAAAACAAAGCCATGCATTACACTTTTTACAACTTATATACGAAAGTCCTGACTTACAGGACAAACACCTCTGTCTTTTTTCATAGTAACTTGGCATATGATCAAAACCATCCAATATCACTTTCAAACTTAACATATTATTATTAAACGTACCTTTTATTGAATTGTATGGCTTGGTTAGACTAAAAAGATCCTTTTGTCTTTTCCAGCTGCTATATTAAATTTGGCGATGAGTGAATTTGTCATAAAACTAAAAATACCATAACTTAATAATATTATATTTTATAATTTATGAAATTATAATTAACTACTGTATTTAAAAATGTTTTTCTTTATCTTATAAAATCTAAATGTTTAATTAAATTTAACGATACACTTTATGTATTAGTTATTATTATTTAAAAAATAGCACACTAACCATTAGTGTAGTCCAGATCATTAGTGTAAACTAACTATTAGTATAGTTATATATATGAATATTCTCTGGGTTAAAAGAATTGTCTGGACTAAAGTTTTAAGCTATAGAATAACCTATAGCTTTAAACTTGCAAATTGGCAAAAGTGTGAATTGGCATAGGTGCGCCAAACAAGTTTGCAAACATTACAAATAGGCATAAGTGCAAAACTTGAATAAGTACAAAACAGTTACAAAAACTGGCAGAAGTGCGAACTGACATAAGTGCGCGTAAAAGATTTGCAAACATTAGCATAAGTGCAAATTGGCATTTTGCCCTTATGCTAGTTTGCAGTTATGCCAGTTTGCACTTATGCTAATGTTTGCAAATTTATTTGGCACACTTATGCTAGTTCACATTTATGTCATTTGCACTTTTGCCAGTTATTTGCAACTGTTTCGCACTTATACCAGTTCCCACTTATGGCAATTCACACTTATGTCAATGTTTGTAAATCTATTTAGCGCACTTATTCCAATTCACTCATATGCCAATTAGCACTTATCAGGCTTGGTCGGGAAGCGGGAGGGATTGCTCTCGAAACCACGGAAATTATATTTAGTTGCGAAAAACTGGCCAGTTTTTTATTAGTATATTCTTATTTTTTATTTAAAAAGTATGTATTCTTTATGTAAATTTAATTTTGTTTATCTGTTTTTTATCGTAATGTATCTTTTAAAGCAATTTTTACGATTTAAACAAAGACTTACAAAAATAATTGCGTTTTCAATGAAGTTATAATCGTTATAGTTAATAAAACTAATTATGTAACAAACATGTAAGAAGTTTCTAGTTACTAAACACAAACAACGCGTACAAAGTAACTTGCAGATGAACAAGTACCCCGCCTAAGGTCACGACAGAACACAAATATATAAAGCAAATAATTAGATATAAAGAAAAGTTACTAGATATTGGTTTACTAACTCTAATTATTTTCACTTAAGTTGCCATTCTAAAAACTCGTTATACTTTTTTCTGCTTTAAATACTAATTAAAATTTAAAAGCTCACTCACTAAACATCACCAGCGATATTGTGAAGCAATTTCGCTTCTTCGTCATAAAGTGTTGTTAACCTTAAGTTGATTTTTATATTGTTAATTTAATTTCTATGATTTAATTATTTCATTTGTTTATCTTACTAAGAAGAATTGCTTCAAATATGTTAAACTTTTCAAACTACGCGAAACATAAAATAGATATTGAAAAAATTAACTTTATTATTTATAAAATAATTTAGCTAAAATAAAACTAAAACTTGCAAACTTTGTTAAATAAAGAATATTTGTTTCCTTTTTAAACAATCGTAAGTTGTTACTTTATATAAAAAAAATCGCCTAATTTTATAAAAAAAATTATAAAAGAGCGATGTTTTGAAAATATTTGTTTTAAACGTAATTTATTTAGCTTTAAGTTTTTTCGCGTTTAAAGATATTTTATTTACATAATTTTTTTTTCTTTTCTTTGTAAATGTCTCTCATCGGTCCAATTAATCTTTTTTTTTTTTTGTTTTTTAAAATGTTCTCAAAACGACTAAAAAATCTAGCCAGCTTTTCGCAACTAAATATTATTTACGTGGTCAGCAATTGAGAGCGATTGCTCCCGCTTCCCGACCAAGCCTGACTTATGCCAGTTTCTGTTACTGTTCCAATAACTGCACTTATGATTATACAATAATTCGCACTTATGCCAGTTCACACTTATGCCAGTTTGCACTTATGCCAATGTTGGAAAATTCTTATTTATGGTAAAACAGCTTAGGTAGAGCCATGCATGGGATTTGTATTATGGATTGTAAGATGGGAGTAATATCATTATAAACTTAAACATTTATAGAAATGCACTTTTAATTTACTAACCTCTTCATTATAGCTATCACAAGTTTTTGAAAATTCTTACTACCAATATTTTGAACTCTTTGTTTCTAATAGAAAGAAATAATGGAAAAACAGACAATTCCTAATAAAGTAGTAAAAATTATACATTGTAAAGAAAATTTTTAAAAAAGAAAAAATCTGTCAAATCATTATAGAGCAATTTACAACTGCAGAGTTATTACAGAGTTACTAGATGAAACGTTATCAAGTGCTGAGTCAAACTTATCAAATTCTATTAGGCTGTTACTTTCAGTTACTACTTCTTGTTCACACTATTTTATATTAAGTTTTTTGCATCCTTGGGTTTTTATCTCATTTAAGAAAAGCAACACACAATATTGAAAGTCTAAACAAATTTACAATGGTTAAATTTTACATAGTTTTAACAAAACTACGTAAATAAATAAATTTAAAATGCATAAATTTAATAATTTAACAACTTTACTGGTCTAACCCTAAATCAGAGAAAAACTAATAAACAGTAAAATACTTGATTGTGGCAATACTAATTTTTAGTATAGCCACAATAAAGTATTTTACTATATATTACAATTTTTCTCAGATTTAGGGTTAGACAAGAAAGATTGTTCCATAGATTTATTGTTTTGATAATATTGACAGTCATGTTAGCACTTTACAACAAACATTACATTATTATATTTTAACTAAAGACTTACTTGCTTGAGATAATGGAAATCCATCATATTTATTCTTTTTATTTAAAGGTGATAAAGATGTGCCTTAAAATGAATGCTCGGTCATTACAATCAATATCATCTTTATCTATTACTTTTTTTTTACAAATTACTTTACAGATTATTAATTTTATAAGTAAAATAAGGCATATAACATGGTATATAATATTATAGTTTTCATACTGCTAAAAGATTAAAAATCTTGGAATGACATTTTGAACTGTCACTCACTTTCTTGAAACAAATCATCATATTTTTCCTGTTCAGCCTTTTCAACTATAGTAATTCCTTTATAAAAACCACTGATATTGTAATTTCTTATTTTTAGAGTTAAAGAAGATAAACTCTGAGAATATTGTTCCCTTTTCTCAAATCAAAATGAATTTTTTCGCATTAAAAGCAGTTGATAATCAAGTAGAATTAAAAACTTAATCTAGTTTTTACACTAATTAAGTTTACTCAACAATTAAGTTATTTAATAAAGTAAAATAATCTAGTTAACCACACTATAAAAACTTTATTATTCATATCTACTTGATAATCAGTACAAGTAGATATGATTAATACAGTTAACCAAGTGTTTGTATTGTTTTCTTGTAGAACTAAATTTGAAAATATATTTAAAGTTGTATGCCTTCGTTGAAACTAGGTTGTGTTTGTATTTCTACTTGAATCAAGTAGAAATACAAACACAACCTAGTTTCAACGAAGGCATTCAACTTTAAACTAAAAGTACTACAATATATTTTCAAATTTAATTCTAAAAGAAAACAATACAGACACTTGGTTGATTTAAAGATATGTTAATTTATATAATTTTTACTTAAATAAATCAATTCCGCGTAATCGAGTATCACGCCATTATTTACGTAAACATACTTACCCTTTTATATATCGTTTTAAAAACGTCCTGTGCTAACTGGGTATGATATGAAACAATAAGCTGTCGACATTCACTCGATAACATTTAGCAACCATTGATTGGCTACGCACCAGAGTAAAACGGCGGATTTTTTAACTATTTTTTTTTTTTTAATTGACTAATTATTTATTTGAAAATAGTATATTGTACAGTAAACAAACTAATTTTTTATATATATTAATATTATCATGTTGCATAAACGTTGCAGTGCTATCTGATAGTACAGATCTCATACAATCGTCTTTATTTTTTTTATAGACCCAGTTAATGCAGCTATCAAAAAGTATTGATCATCCCAGTATAATAAGCATATAGAAAAAATTTAAAACGTGTACACATAGTTTCCAGTTCAGTCTATTCACACCTACACAAATTATAGGGCCTTTGAGCAATAAGAAAAAGACTAGTGGTGATTTACCAACTTTTATGTTAAAATCTTATATTACTCAGCAAGCCCTTTTTTTGTTACTTAATAAGTAGCATGAATGCATTAATAATAGATGTGTTGTTGAATAAATATTAATGAACCTCTCAAAGCGTACAACTATTTTATTATTTTTTTATTTTTTTTATTTTAGGTGCCCCAAGAAGCAAACGGTCTTATCAGAAAGCCCCGCAGAAGTGCATTTACCAGGAAAATCACGCCTCCTTCCTTACTGTAACGCAAAAATATGTCCAGTGCTCGTTTCTAACCTGGATCTCCTGCTTATAAAGCAAGCACTCTAAACACTGCGCCACGGCCGCAAGACTTACTTAATTACTAAATTAGATGCCCATGGTTTTTTAAAAGAAAGTCTTAATCTCTTGCTATATTATATTTGTGGTCGTAAACTAAGGATAAGAATATGGTTTTCTGCCTCAAGCTGGGTGGATATATTATTTGGAGTGCCTCAAGGGTTAATCCTTGGACCCATTTTTTTTAAATATCTTTATAAATGATTTATTTTTGTTCATTAAATATACAGACCTTTGTAATTTTGCAAATGATCACAACATTTATGCTTGCGATTATAGCTGTTGGAAGGTTTCGTTTACAAAAAGAAGCAATCAAAATCATCAATTCGTTTCAGTTAAACTCAACGGTTGCAAACCCAGATAAGTTCCAATTTTTTTTTTTAGTTGGCTTAAAATATGCAAAAAAGCTATCGCTAAATAGGTAATATAAGGGTTTTTGCCTCCGATAAGATAAAACTACTTGGTATAACAATTGATAAAGATCTAAAATTTGAGGAACACATTAAAAAGTTATGCAGTAAAGCTAATGGTAAATGTTTTGCTTTTTCGCGCATAAAACTTTTTTTTCTGTTTAATGCTTTTATTTTGTCTTTACTTTTATTATTGTCCTCTAATTTGGATGTTTTATTCAAAAAAAGATGACAAACTAATAAATAGATTTCATAAACAAACTTTAAGTATAGTCTATAAAAAATTTGATTTGTCTATGGATGAATTATTACCTTTTGATAACAGCCCAGAAATCCATCTAAGAAATTTGAGATTTTTTATGATGGAAATAAATTCATTAACTGTCTAAATTTTCTATCTATGAAAAATCTTTTAAGAATAAAAAATCTTGCATATAAATTCCGTTTTAGCAAAAAACTGATTTTACCTCCTAAATTCTCCATATATAATAATACATGCTGTACGATTTATAGAGCCACCTCGCTCTGGAACACTCTAAATAAAAAGATCATGTTCGTGAAATGTCTTGAGGTGTTCAAAAAACTTATCAAGAATTGGTATGGTAATAATTACGTTTGCAAAATTTTTCGATTTTAAAATTTCGTTTAACTTTATACTGACATATTTTTAGCAAGGATTGTATTATCATAAATATTTTTTTATTGAAACAGTTGTAAGTTTTCATGAAATTTATATATGTTTTTGTACTGTCTATAAAGTTAAATTTGTTGATTTAAGTTAGTTTTAATGTTAAAACTTGCAAAAATCAACATGAAATAGAGTTTTTAAATTAAAAATTAAATTTGAAAAAAATTATCACGAAATAGTAGAGTTAGTTAATTAGTCAACTTATCCTGCAATAGTGCCGTTAGTTAACATTCAACTTTTTTTATTTTTTTTAATTCACCTCCAAGAGGCCGAAAAGGCCACTACAGTCGAAGAGGCTGTTTAAATTGTGGTTGCGACCCTCTCTCAACTCTACAACTCCGAAACGCGAACTTTTACAAACAAGGCTGCTGCGCGGAGAAACAAGTTGAGCGCGGTACTACAAGGGATGTGGTAAGGATTTTTTTTATAATTGTTAAGGTGCTCAAAGAAGACATAGTGGTCTTATCACATCGCATCGCGAAGGAGCATTTAACCAGGAAGTTCACGCCTCTTGCCGTTTATTGGGCTAGAGCCGGTGTTGAATCACAAACCTTATAATTCTGAGCCAGAACTCTAACCACTGCACAACGGCTGATTGAACTCGGAATACCTCGTTCATGAAGCAAGCGCTCTAACACCACACTACTATCGCATTAACTGATCATGCAATAGTTGAGTTGGTTAATCATTCAACTGATCGCGCAATAATAGAGTTATTTGTACAATTTCTTTTTAAATTTTTGTATTCAAACATTTTTATTAATTTTTTAATTGTCATTACTGTTCATAATGTTATTATAAAATGGTGAAAATGGATGATAGGAAAAATTTTCAATAAAAATACCTGATTTAAAATTATTTTTTTTTATATACCTGAATTTGTAAGTAGCTACTTGTTAAAAAATTATCAATTGCAGACGAAGTAAGTTTTGTAATACGTGTAGACTTGAAAATGGTAATTATTAAATTAAATTTAAATAATAAGTTTTTTATTATTTGAATTTAAGATTACAGGTAGAGTTCCCTTAAAAACTACGCAAATTTTGAAAATGGAGTATACCGTTACAGGTCAACTATTTGAGTTTTTTTTTGTGATTTGAAAACACCTATTATATGGTTTTTCTTTCCTGGAAGTCGTTATCCTTGTTTTTGGCATATTTAGTGAGAATTAGCAGAGAGAATGCTCTGATTTTTTCAAAGATTCCTCTCAAAAACTACAAGGAACATAATTGTATTTATATGGATGAAAATTTTCTGAAAGTTATAAATTTTTTTCTTATTATATAAGAAATTAGTGTAGTATGATATGTAAGGAAGCTTGCTATCTTAGTCCAACATAAATAGCATTTTAGATCGTAAATTTACTTAAAAACTACACGATTTCCCCCTTAAATACAACATTAAATTAGGTAAAATATGCCTCCACAAGCTCACTTAGAATAGCCAGGAATGGAGAGAATGTTTATACTGACCTTCTTTAACTTTAATCGTAAAATGGTTATAACTGGTACCTTTCTGTTCATTTTGTGCTCATAATCTTTAATCAAGTATGTATATTCTTTATTTATAGTGTTTAAATAAAATAATTGTATGGGAAAACCGCAAATTAATTTTAAGATTTCTGCTGGTAGAAAAAAAGGTAGAACAAAGGACAAAGCCAGAAACTCGAGCTGAAGCAACAGTTTACAGAAAAGACATAAGAGTTAAAGAAAATCAAATAGCAGAGGAAGTAGATTGGTGCACAGAAAATAAAAAACGAAAGTAGGCAGCATTAAAAACAGGAAAGTTTCCTTTAATTAAAGATTGTGGTACAATAGACAGAAGATTCGGTGGCAAAGTTAAGAATGTAAAAAAGGAACATTTGAGAGTGTTACATCCAGATGATGAGAAGGAAATAGTTTGTTTTATCAGAAACAAAAACAGAGCCCACCAGGGACTGTCTAAGAAAGAAGTTTCTGAAATTATTTTGGATGTTCTGAAAATCAGAGATCATTTGAACAAAAATGGAAAAGGTGCAAGAGAGTTTATAAAACTATCACCAAGTGCAAAAACAGCCCTACAAAATAGAAGGTAAGTAAGTTTTTTCTTTAAACTAATTTATCAACATTCAAACAGGTACAAGGGTACAGTAGATATTAAATAGATGTAAAATAATAAACCTTATTATCCAAACTATTTAGACTCGGGAAATCATTTTGGAGAAGATGGCATGCTGAACATGATGATATCGTCATTAAAAGGCAAGGCCGAATTAAAATAAACAGAGCCCTAAATTGTACTAGGGAGAGGGCTGCTAGATCATCTAGGCACACATTTTTATCACATATTGTTTTTTTAGTTTAGCTTGAATATAAAAAGATCTATTTTTAATTTCATTCTCAAGTGTTCTACCCCAGTAAGCACATGAACGTTTTTAAAACGTTTTTTTAACTAAGAAAAAAAACGTTTTTTAAACGTTCTGAATGGCAATACCTAAAAAACGTTTTTAAAAAGGCGTTTAAAAAACGTTCTAAAAAAGCCGTTTAAAAAACGTTGTAAAAAAAAAATTTTAAAAAACGTTCTCAAATAACCTAAATTAAACCATAAAAAAACGTCTTTTAAACTTATAAAAGACGTTATTTTTTAGAAAATATTCCTAAATCCATAGGTACTATTATTAAATTGTTTTTAAAAGAACCTGTTGGTTTAAAAAACAAGAAAAATAAAAAATTTATTTAAAAGTTATTTTTAAATTTATTTTTTAAAACAATTTACAAACAAAGTAATATTATAACGATGATATCTGTTGGATTAAAGGCACTTTAAGACAAGCAAAAGTTTCCCGCTTTCACGAATCAGCAATTATTGCATCGACAATCGACTCTGTGTATAATTCGTGAGAAGTCGATGCACTAACTAAAAGAAAAAACTATATATTTAAAACTGACAATCTGAACAGCAATAATAGTATTATAGTAAAATAATAATATATAGTATAATAATAATAGTAATAAGTTTTTAAATTACAAATATATGTTTTAAAAAAATATATATAACTTCACATTGCATATATATATATATATATATATATATATATATATATATATATATATATATATATATATATATATATATATATATATATATATATATATATATATATATATATATATATATATATATAT